ACATCCATCCCTCCCTCCCTCCCTCCCTCCCTCCATCCATCCCTCCCTCCATCATTTCATCCTTCATTCTTTTCTCTGTCCTTTCTTCCCCTTACTGACTCCCTTTCATGTTTCATTTATATTATGAATATAACTTTTTATATTTTCCTTCCTTTAGATGCTAATGAGCTATGTCTACTTTGCATCAGTGCTCACCATCGCCGTTCACCCACCCAAGAAAATCCAATACACAATAGGAAAACATAGAGACAGGAATATTAACTCAACTAGATCTTATGGTAGTATACGTAATGTATAGGGTCGAATATCTTGAACGAAAGCACTAAAAATATAACACCTACGTCGAACATGAGGAAAGCAGAGCAAGTAATTACCTTGCCTGTCCTCACTAAAAAAAAAGCGTAAAATCGAAACTTTTTCCATCAATTCACTTCTGCTATTTCCTTATTTATTATTATAGAAATGGCCATGAATCCTTACGATTTATTGTTAATATAAACGATTAACTGAACGAGAACGATCATAAAAATAGCATGGACAACGTCGGTGCGAACGGATAACATATAAAAGCAGCTATAAATGAATATTGACCTGACCTCCATAAAGGAAAACAAATACATTAAAAATTAAATTAGACTTATTTTTCTCTTGAGCTGTTTGTCGCAGTAACTGATGGGCTCCGACGAAGGAAGCAAGGTCAGAACGATATATTGAGTATCTTTTCAATGATTTAATAATATTTTTCCATTTATATTGGAAATAAATTGGAAAATAAATAAATAGTAATAAAAATAAAACGTCTTTAAAACTAAACGCAGAGTGTTGATTACTCAGCAAGTGGAAATGAAAAACACTATCTTTATTCACTAAAAACTGTCATAACACCAATGAAAGGCACGCCGATATTGTACCTGTAATCCTCTATTCAATCTCCTATTTTAATTATCCTTTCGTCTATTTTTTTACTCAAGTACGTGGGGCATAATTGAAAACGCGTTTAGACGTGTTTTCGTTGAGTGACTGCCTTACATATTGACGTCTCGCTAAATAAACAACAATTGAAATAATTCTGATTTAAATCTCCGATTATCAAATATGAATTTTATCATCATCATTATAAAGTTATTTTCAATTGGTGTTTTTATCGCAATGAAGCCGTCTTAATTTAAAAGTTCATTTTTGACTTCAACTTCTTTTTAACAACTAATTATTGAATTTTACAGACATTTTATGATTTATAATTCGTAATTTTGTAAATTTGCTTTAGAATGGATAATCAATATTTTATCGATTATATACTTTTAATAAAAAATGATTGAAATAAAGAGTGTAAATAAAGCATCTAAAATTTATATTAATATCTCTTTTGTCGGATTCTTTTTGTTTGTCGTTTTGTCTTTTTGTTTTATTTATTTATTTATTTTTTCTTCTTCTTCTTCTTCTTCTTCTTCTTCTTCTTCTTCTTCTTCTTCTTGTGAAATATTTCAAGATTAGAACAACATTTTCTTGAGTATTGTGACTTGTTTTATATTTCCAATTATTTGATTTTGCCCACACACTTTATCTCTCATCTAATCCAACGATGGATATGTTTCCCTCCTGTTATCAAGGGTGGCGTGTAGTTGCAATCTCACCTCTGGGGTCTCGAGTTCGATTCCTGAATATTTGTGAGTAGAGTTTGGTAGGTCTCTCCCTTGAGTCGAAGTTTTTCTCCAAGTTCTTTCGGTTTGTAGTCTCCCTCGCATCCGTTTTTAGTGTCGGTCGTCACGCAACGCTCCCCGTGGGGAAGGGAACGTGACGACCGACACTAAAAACGGATGCGAGGGAGACTATTCGGTTTGCCGCTCTATTCAAAACCCAACACACAAACCGTGTAGGCAAACACCAACTCGCTTCGTTTGATATTTACTCAACCAATTTGAAATTGCTATATTAAATATATGAGGAAATGCTGGAGCTAAGTCATTACCGTGCGCAGAAAAATATGTACGGAAGGGCATATTGCGGAAATGGGGGATACTAATTGAATCAATTAATGCAGTTTATACGAAGCCCAGTCCAAGAGATTTAAGGAGTCACCTGTGAACCTTTTTTTTTTTCTTCTTCTTCGTTTCTTTTCTTTTCTTTTTGCACGCATGTTAGAATGTGAATATAAAATACTATGCGCGTTATTGAAAAAATTAAAGTTCTTATTTTATGCGCCCTTGTCTATACCAAATACCGTTCGGGCCGCGACATGGCTTTCAAAATTAATAATGTAAAACCATAAGCAAAAGTAAAACGGTAATTTAATGATTGAGTTATAGAAGGAAACTACCTACATCTACATTTTTAATTAGTCAGTAATATCGATTAGATATCACACCAACTATAGTCATTGAACTTCACAATGTTATTGTTTGAGTTAGGTCGATTGAAAACGTTTCAGATCTTTTTTATACCTTTCACAGCGTTTCTCCGTCTTTCCTTTGATTATCATTCTTTCATTTTAGCGGTACCACTTGAGAAAACAAAAATATGGATTTAAAAAAATCTTATTTTCAACTAAACTGCTAAACTGTCCTTCTGTTAACATAGTCACGTTTGTTGGGATCCAAGGACAGACTGTAAGTTAATAGCCGACAATGCCAAAATGCTATAAAATTTAACTGACAAATAGCAAAATTGACTGACAACTGACAAATAAGCGAAATTTTATGTTACAGTGACGACATTGAACCGTGAGCTACTCGAGTTTATTTATTCATTATTTTATTTCTTTTAAATATATTTCCTGAACTTTCTACTGTTTAAAACCCTCTAAGATAGCATTAGGTTCAAATATACTGAGTGAGCAAAATACATTATATTTCCAATCGATTGGCTCAAGGAGTGATTTACAGTACGAATTCTTAAAATTGAGTGTTATTCCTTTTATTTTAGCGTTACCGCTTGAGAAAACATGAATATGGATTTAAAAAATTATTATATTAAAAAACGTTTGAAAATGGACAAATATTAGTTAAACTGCCTTACAGTGCCAAATTCTATTAAATTTAACTGACAACTGACAAAATGTTTGAAATTTAAATGACAAATGGCATTGCATATTAGAGAAATTTTACGTTTCAGTGAGGACCGTGAACAATTTTATGTTTTTTGTTGTCATTTTTCCCCCAGCTGAACTGAACTTTCTATTTATTCTTTCAAACCCTCTTAAATGAAGCATTGAATTCAAATACACCGGTAAGCAAAATAAATATTTTTATTATATAATTACCAATGAAATATCTATTTTTCTCTATTTCGAAAAATTGATATCTTCACACGTGAAAATAACATGTTATTTTCACGTGTGAAAATAACACCATTGCGATGGCTATTCAAAAATACACGGAAAGAATTGCCTGAAAAAGCCAAAACATACTTTATTGATAATTACATAATAAAGGGAATATTACATGGCCGCTTGGAGAAACGAAATTTATCTTCTCGTGTTGAAAATCTCTCACTCGTTCGCTGTGCTCACTTGTGAGAGATCTTTCAACACTCGAAGATAAATTTCTTATCTCCGCGCGCCCATGTAATATCCTCTATTTATATTTCCAATCAATAGCTAAAGGGATAGTTTACGGTATGAATTTTATTAATATTTTATTAAGTATGTATTCCTTTCATTTTAGCGGTACCTCTTGAAAACATGAATATGGATTCATCATTATTATTAGGGACGGACCATTAGATAGTTGATGGGGGGGGGTTGCGTAAATCCCCCAAAAAATATCGAGCAATAAGCACTTATACCTCAAAAAAATATCGGGCAACCTCTTCTGCTAGAAGAAAAATATCTAACTGTACGCAAAAAAATAAGGTGCAAGGGTTGAGCCCAAAAAGATTAATATCATATCCCATCATATTGCTAGTTTACTTATGCCATATTCAAAACTTTTTCAAAATACTTTTTCCCCTTATATGATACTTTCGATTTCAAGATACAAAGCAATTTAAAGTTTGTTTGCCATCCAGCAGAGCCTTCCCCCAATAGACCTTTGGTTGAATTGATTCGTTATCAAAGTCATATATCAGCACGTGACTGTTTGTTGCAATTAAATGGCCTATTTCGATCGCTGTACGTAATCAATGACAATGACAACAATGATTGGTACCAAAAAGTACGATATGGGCTTTTACGAGATTTACAGTMTGACTGTAATAACCGTGGAAGCTATCCAGTCAGAGGAAATATAGTAATGAAATATCAACATTTAGTCATTGACGCGTAATTCAAATAATCTGAAACCTATTCAGAAATGCTGGGCTGATCGCTCGTTTACAACAAAATGGAAAATTTTATAAGAATTTGTAAGGAAAAATGCGCTGGATGGCAAAGCTGCTGCCCATCCAGCATATTTTCCCAAACAAATCCTTATAAAATATTGATCTTCTATTTAATGCCATTTCTCCTTTTTCGCTTGTTATGAGCTAAAACTCCGCCACCCTACTAATATCGAGGTGCTCTTTTCATTTCTATTGTTTATTTTAACACAGCTGCTCGTTTTAAGGGAAGTATGGTCACGTGAACTGTTAGTTCAAGTCGTCTATTCTGCGCGTTAGTCGTACATGCCTGGCTTTGATCAGCCCATAGGTTGTTTCAGGGTAATGTGCAGTATTTTTTAAACGATAGTCTTCGTTACATACTCATCATTTCCGCATTAGAATAATTTTTTTTTTTTTGGTCTTTTAAATGGACTAGGCACGATTTCCAAGCAAATAAAATTAGTGGTTTGCAGAGTTCGCCATGCATCCCCAGTAGTGACTCTCATGCGTGGGCCATCACGAAAAATTATAAAAGGTCATAAGATGTTATTACATAACTAGCATTACTATAATACTCTTACAACCTTCCCGTAATTTTTATGGTAAATTGATAATGTGACTAGTAGCAGTAACTAGTTGGGACTGTGTAGGTGCTTTGAATACGACAAGTGACTCAAGAAAGAAACTTAAATGCCGTGTGGTCCCGCCGGGCTGGATGTCGCATTTGAGTTGCATGTTTGTTGGTTCTCCTCCCTTTACAAAAATCAAGAGTGGCTCTTCATCCACTGAATTCCAATTGGAATTTAGACGTTCATTTTTTGTGGAGGGAAGAAAACCGGAGAGCCTGAACTGAGAACAACCCTCGACGCACAGGTTGGTATGGAATGGATTGACAGACTTGAGAAAGTCAAAGTCTCTTAATTATTTTAAAATAGGAGTTGACAAATTTTATTCGTTATCAGACTCCCACACGACAAACATGTAAACCAGTTTTAGTTTTAACTTATTTAGTGAATTTAGGATGTAACTGATGTTTTTACCACGTATAAATAAAGTCTTCTGTCTGTCTGTCTGCCTGTGTGTCTGAGAAAACCAACAAGCAACTCTACTCATATGCGAGGCAAAAAATATTTTGAATTCTAAATCGTATTTAGTGGAAGAAATTAAAGCCATCTTCCTAAGTATCTTATTTATTTCATGTTATTGGCAGTGTTGAAGACAAGTTCAGCAGAAGTTTGAGACAAAGAAGTTACAAATAAAAGATGCTTTTCTAACAAAGAATCAGTCGTTTTAAGAAGCGAAAGAAACTCAAAACTTAGGCCAAATTTCTTCAAAAGACAACAACAACAACAACAAAAAGAATAAATGTTAAAATTACGAAATTTCAAACAACTTTCATCCTACTAAAATGTGGCTGCCATTTTGTGTCATACTTTCTTACAACCAGC